AATGCAAACTTATCAATAAAATTTTATATTTATCAATTCATATTACATCACATGATATCATAATTTAATAATAATTTCTAGGTTGTACAATGTTTCAAATATAAGTATTAATTTTTTAAAATTCAAGTAAAATTTAGCTAAAAATAGTATACTTTAGTTCAAAAAGAAAAAAATAAAATTATACACCATCAAAATTTTGTTATTAAAAAGACCATATTGTGTATAATATAATGCTAAGTTTATTAAATATTGAAAAATTTTAAAAAATGTAATACCACCTAAATAAGTAAATTTATTTGATTAAAATTTGAAATTTTTTAAACGAGCTTTTATGTAACGTATCGATTTATATTCATATAGCTTGCTTTGAGAAATCAAATACAGCTAATTGTAAAAAAAAAAAACCACCTTCAACTTAAAAGGGATTCTAGATATATTGGCCTCATTTTAGATTGATTATAGCTCAAAAGGTGATCAAGGATGAATATGAAACTCAAACGATAAATAGGCGATGTTATCATTTTAATTAGTTTGATTTTATAAACGCAAGTGGTGTCTCTGATATTGTCATAAAACTCAAGGGTTTATATGCTATTGTCTCTAATATTTATTGCTATAATGCTTAATTAAATTTATCCTTTAAATCTATCTTAGGATTACTGCTATTTAAGCTTTAATTTGTGTCGTTCTTATTTACCTATTATTTTCGAACGATTTATTTATCACTTCATTAGCACATTTTAATTACACAATGTGCCATTGAATTTATTTTTGTTTCTCAATTTTATTGAGTAATATTAGCTAATTAATGTGTTCTTTTGGAATATTTTAAAAGGGGAATGCAAGAGAAATAAAGGTATTTGATTGAGAACTACGAGACCAATATAAAATGAAGGACCGTGCAAGCAAATGGATGTTGTTAGTGTTAGTTTTCCTTAAAAAAAAAAAAAAAAAGCATCAGCCGCGTCAGATCAGTTAAAGGAATAAATATATTTATTTCAAATTAGTTGCAATTTGCCAATATAAAATGAATGATCATGCAAGCAATTAATGGATGTTTTTAGTATTTAGTAATGTTTGGTTTACAGAAAATCAGATTTTTAATAAATTTTGATAAAAGTTGATAAAATATGTGATTGAGAAATTGATAACAACTGTGAATCTTTTGATATAATGCATTTTTAAAATTAATTGTTAATTTCAACTTAAATATTTATGAAATCTTTTAACTAAATGAAAAAAGGAATCAGCCTTGTGCACGGAAACAGCAAATGGAAGAAAATACAAAAGAGATGTGGTGAACGCTTATAGGTAATGATCCAGAAGAGAATATATAATAGACTTCTTAACTTAGACCATTCTAGATAATTCTTATGATGCAGGCCACTGATTTTTTCTTTTCTTTAAATCAAATTTGATTTGGAGAATGCTTATACGCAATTAATTTTAAATCTTGAAGCAAAAAAATCACGCTTCATATGAATTTTTTTGAATGTTTTTATGATTTAATGCATCGTTGTTTCACATCTTTCAAAAACATATACGAGGATCGCATGTAAGGATAGATTTAATTTTACGTGTGAAAATTATTAAACAAATTAAGAACATTAATCTTCATATACAAATATGTATCGTCGACTAATGATAAATGTAAGGAGATTCAAAATCTTGGTGTTTGTTTAATTAATTGAGTTTCAAAACATTTCAAATTTGATAGATTAGATTAGATTACTCATAGTAGCTTTAGGTTAATTTGTTAATATAAACCATAAATCTTATCCAATCTTATTATTCAATTAAATACTTTGTCTTCATGAAACAATATCTTACTCATTATTTATTACTTAGCTCCAATGTACTCTTTTTCCTTCATTAGGGTTTTTCCCACATGATTTTTCCTAATAAGATTTTAATGATGCATATTCTTTGTATGATGAATGTCCAAAACATTTACCTTTAAAATAATATTTCTATATGTATGAGACTCCTGAAAGAGCTCAACAAAATTACAAATTATTTGAAAAATGAATTTGAAATGAAAGATTTGGAAAAAATCAAATTTTGTCTCGAGTTGTAGATTGAACACTTCCCAGAAGGATTATTTGTTCATCAACCTACATATACAAGAAAAAATCTTAAAATATTTTTATATGGATAATGCACATCCATTAGCATTACCTATGGTCGTTCGATCACTTGATGTGAAAAAAGATCAATTTCGTCCACTTAAAGATTGATAAATTATTCTTGGTACTGAAGTACCATATGTTAATGGAATTGCAGCATTAACCTATCTTGCAAACTGCACTCAACCCGATATAGTTTTTTCTATAAATCTCTTTGCAAGGTATAGCTCTATAGCAACTCAAAAGACATTGGATTGATGTTAAATACATTTTTTGTTACCTGGAAGGTACTATTGATTTGGGATTATTTTATTTTTTAAAGTCGGGATATGCTTTAGTGGGATATACAGATGTATGTTATCTCTCCGATCCATATAAAGCTAAATCACAAAAAGAATATGTGTTTACATGTGGAAGAACGATTATATCATAGAGATCTGTGAAGCAAACTTCGACAGAAATATTTTTAAATCATTTTGAAATTATTACAATCCATGAAGCGGCAGAGAATATATATGGTTGAGAAATATTATCCATCATATCCAAGCATCATGTAGATTAACTTCAATAAAAGATAGTCCAACAATTTTATATGAAGACAATACAGTTTGTATTGCACAACTTAAAGGAGGAATTATCAAATGTGAAATGACGAAACATATTTTTCCAAAAATTTTCCATACACATGAGTTTGAGAATAATGACGACATCAATGCTCAACAAATTTCCTCAATTGGCAATGTAGCTGATTTATTCACAAAAGTACTGTCGGCATCTACATTTGAGAAACTGGTTCACGAGATTGGAATGCATCGACTTAAAGATTTTCAATGATTAACATTAGGGAAACTGTAATCTTTTTCTTTCGCTTAGGTTTTTCCACCGAATTTTCCTAACAATGTTTTAATGAGGTATCATTTATTTTTAATATTCTAAAATAAGTGTACTCTTTTCCTTTCGTTTGACATTTTTGTCCCATTGAATTTTTATCAAACAAGGTTTTAACGAGGCATGTATTTTGTAATATATCATTCAAGTGGAAGTGCTGTAAATTGTAAGTTTATTAGTGAATGATAGTTGTACCCCTATAGCCTTAGAAACTTTTACCATTATATCCCTAATCATTCCCTATAAATATGGTGCTTTAGTTCTCATTATAATACACACAAATTTATTGATTTCTATCTATTCTATTCTCTTTTCTTTTCTCTCAGTTTACAACCTCACAATATTTTTATTCAATATCAGAAAAAAATCCTAGGGTAATTGTGGCTCCTGTTTAGGGTTTTTTTCATGACCTGGTTGCCAATTTTAATAGAAATTGCACCTTAGTCCCTCTACTCTGCTAAAAATAATTATTAAGATACTAAGACAATACATAAAAAAGATTATTTTTGGCATTTGAAATGAACAAGTTATTTGATTGTCAAATTCATCTAAGAAAAGTTAAAAGAAGACCGATTCCACAATCTATTGTAGTGTACCACGTCACATTGTGCTTTTCAAATGAATACTCCAATTTCAATATGTCTCATTGTACATACATTTTGCTGGACTACTGAATTAATATTTTTTTAGACTACATAAAAAAAATACTTAGAATTTTAAGACAGTATCATAATAACTTTTTACGTTTACAAAATCACACTAACATCTCGTACTTCTATTTTTGATTATCACTCACCCTTGAGCACGTTTTGAATCATATTTTAATCCAAAATGATTTTGATATACCTAAATTACCTTTGTGAAGTAAATGTATATGAAATTTTCTAAACAATTAGGTACAATTTCATTTGTTGCCTTTAATAATAAGTTAATAATACTTAAAGATTTTGTACATGCATAATTCTAAATATGCAAGCTACTAGTGCAAATTCCAACTTCAAATATTTTAACTAAATGAAAAAAAGGAAGAAGCCTCGTGCACGGAAACTGCAAATGGAAGAAAATACAAAAGAGAAGACAGTCCAAGACCTTATTTTAGGCAAAAGAGAATATATAATAGATTTTCTCAACTTTGACCATTCTAGATGGAAATAGTTTGATTTCAAATTGTTATTTGATAACGAAAATTAATTTTCAAACTTGAAGCAGAAAAATCACGCTTTATATGAATTTTTTTGTGATTTAATGCATCATTGTTTCATATCTTTCAAAAACATATACGAGGATCGCATGTAAAGATAGATTTAATTTTAAGTGTAAAAATTAATAAACAAATGAAGTACATTGATCTTCATATACAAAGTATCGTCGACTAATGATAAATATAAGGAGATTCAAAATCTTGGTGTTTGTTTAATTAATTGAGTTTCATAACATTTCAAATCTTTGTGGGGATTAAAATTAGATTTTTAGTAGATTGTGATAGAAGTTTTTGAAATGTGTAGTTGAAAAGTTGTGGGATTCATAAAAGATGTGGTTAATATTGATTGTTTGACTTTAACTTGAATGAAGATCAGATTTTAATCCGGACCAAACATGGGTAGTCTTCATGAAACAATATTTCACTCATTATTTATTACTTATCTCCAACATCGTACGTTTGCTGGGTTTTTACGACTGCTAACAAAGCAAAGAAGAATATATATTTGGCTTTCTTAACTTGGACTTAATTGTTAAATCTTTTAGACGGCCCTAAATTTATTTAAAATTACTGTTCCACGTTGAAAATTAGCCAAAAGTTAGATACTTGCAAGTTGCAGCCTCAATTAAATATTCTTCGTTTGACTATGCTGCAACCCCACCCCACCCCACCCCACCCCACCCCACACAGGCGGCCCAGAACAAGCCTGCTATGCATGGCTTGTCTATATAATCTCATATCGGCTACAATAGAACTACAAGCAAAAAAAAAAAAATCACAATTCAATGGCCATCAACTCTTGCAATCAGACTGAGATTAGGCGCTCAGGAAACTACAAGCCTCCCATCTGGGAATTCGATTTTGTGCAGTCATTAAGTAATGAATACCTGGTAATTATCATCAGCACTAGCTTGCGTTTTTTGTTATTAATAGCTTTACATGTTCTGTATGGAAAGTTTACTCTTTTATGTTTTGTAAGGGCCAACTAAAACTTGATATGCATAATGTAGGGAGAGAGATACGTAAGGCGGGTTTCTGAGCTGAAGATGCAAGTGAAGATGATGCTTGATGAAGCAATGGAGCCACTGGATCAGTTGGAATTAATTGATAATTTACAGAGACTGGGATTATCTTACCATTTTGAGTATGAAATTAAGCATATCTTGACAAAATATAGAGAAAATCACGAGCCAAGGAATAAGAATTTGTATGCTGCAGCTTTGGAATTTAGACTTTTAAGACAGCATGGCTTTAATGTCTCTCAAGGTGGGAAAAAAAAAACACTTTTTTTATTTTTGTCTTTCTTTCTTTTCTGCACTTATACATTCGAAAACTTGGCTGACTGCAGAGATATTTGATTGTTTCAAGAATGAAAAGGGTGATTTCAAGCCAAGCCTAAGTGAGGATTCAAAGGGATTGGTACAACTGTATGAAGCTTCCTTCCTGTCAACAGAAGACGAAACTACTCTGGAAGTGGCAAGAGAATTCACTATCAAACATCTTCAGGATCAAATCGTTGATCAAGATTTTGCTCTATTGGTGCAACATGCCCTGGAGCTCCCGCTGCACAGAACCATACCTCGGGCGGAGGCAAGGTGGTTCATAAACGTATACGGCAAGAATTCTGACATGAATCCTATTCTGCTTGAGTTTGCTAAACTGGATTTCAACCTCGTTCAAGCAACATATCAGCAGGAGCTAAAACAAGTCTCCAGGTATTTATCATGGGCTAAATGTATGTGACGAGGGACGCTCGAAAACAAGAACCAGAATTATAGAATAAAGGGAAAATGTGGAGGAGAATAGAAGAGAAAGGAGAGAAATTCTTTGTTTATTCAAATAATTAAGTGTAATTATTACAATGTATAGACTTTCTTTATATAGAGTTTAAACAATCTAATTTAAGTGGGATAAAAAGGAAGTAAAAACCTAATCTAAGCCAAGCTAGAAAAATACAATAAACAGAAATAAACTCACCTAAACTCGGCTAGTCTTCAATTTCATATCGTTACAGATCTTCATCAGTGTGATATTTGAAGTTTGAAATCCCCAATTTAGTCGTCACAATCCTTTTTTTATCTGTTTTTCTATGTAGGTGGTGGAAGAGAACATGCCTTGCTGAAAAGTTGCCATTTGCCAGGGATAGGCTGGTGGAATGTTTCTTTTGCACTATTGGAGGGTTATTCGAACCCCAACATAAACTGTGTCGAACAATCTTGACAAAGGTCATGTGTCTTTTAACTATCATAGATGATATATATGATGTGTATGGCACCCTGGAAGAATTGGAACTATTTACGTGTGCGCTTGAAAGGTTAGTATTGTCTTCATTTCCAGAACTAGCATATTAAACACAAAAATAACCATGCATCTATGCTGCTTGTGTAATATTTTCCTAAGAATCAGAATTACATCTCTTTTACAGTTCTAATGATTTTTACTGCACCTTATGCGACGAGGGAAGTAGAAAATTCCTTTTGCCAAGGGCACGAACAAGAGTTTGTCACTGCAAAATCTGATTGTTTGTGTGATACGTTGATTTTTGGGTAAAGATTTCTGGCAATTATCGAACTTATGTTCAAATTAAAATCAGGTTTTTGAATTTCATTTTGTCACAATTAAGTCGCTTTATGTTATTATTTCAATCAAGTCACTCCATTCAAGAGATACCTCTGGTTATGTCATTACTCAGTACCTCATTATTTTCACATTTGTTGAACCAAAAGTTCTGGACGAATAAATTAAGTGACAAATTATGACACAAATTTAAATTTAGACATTTCTTTGTGATTATTATTTCTTACAGTTTCAATCTTTTCTCTTCTTTGTTATTACTGTGTTTCCATTCGTAAATATTTCTTGGTTGTCGATTTTCAGATGGGATGTCAATACAATTGAGCAACTTCCGGATTACATGCAAATTTGTTATCTAGCAGTCATCAACTTCATCAATGAAATAGCTTATGATGTTCTCAAGGGAGAAGGGCTCCTGATTATTCCGTACTTAAGAAAAGTGGTATAACTTCATTCTAAAAAGTTGAAAATACTTGCCCCTTTTATTCTTTAGTCACTTGTACATTTCAGAAATCTTTGAAATGTAAGCATCCTATATGTACGCTTGTATATAACTGTAAACACAATCAAATGTGGAAGTTTGAACTATCGAATTACCTCCGGCCATTGACAACATAACAGCTTTTCGAAACCGAAATTTTAGCCGCTGTTCCACGAGTTTGAGAGCTTCTAATGCCTCGTTCCAGCCTCTGAATGATGGTGGAGTATAAACGAGTAGACGGAATGGCATTAGGAACCAAACATTGTTTCTTTTCCGGAATTGTAGGCATCTCAGCAAATTCCAAATTGGCCAAACTATTATTGGAAGTGCAAGTCATTGATTAATGGAATAATTAGACCACATACGGTTTTCCTTAATTAGTATGGAAAATTTCTACATGAAATGCATTCATACGATATAATACCATCAAACTGTGTATTTCATATTCTAAAGTTACTCCTATTTATTTCTGAAATCTGATTATAACTTTTTTTTCTGAAATATGAGTTGATTTTACTATTCTAACAACTTTTAGTATTGTCACAGTGGACAGATATATGCAAAGCATACTTACAAGAAGCCAAGTGGTACTTCAATGGATACACGCCAACACTAGAAGAATATATGGAAACTGCACGGATAACGATATCATCTCATGTGATAATGTCTCATGCTTTTTTCTGTGTGACCAATCCTATAGAGAAAGAGGCAGTTGAGTACTTACAAAAATACCCCGGTGTACTTCACTGGTTGGCGACAATTTTACGGCTTTCGGATGATTTAGCTACATCATCGGTGCGTACGTCCATATATATCAGAATTTAATTTTCATTTCATTTGTAAATTATGTCCGTTGTTTGTTCACGAAGTTACAACTGCAATATTTATCAATTTCCCTTGGTACTTTAAATTTTTGGTTTCTTGAGAGTGGGTATTTCAATTAGAATAATGCTATTTAAAGTCAAGATCGGTAATCGTCCTACAAGGCATACATGTGACGTTTGATATAGGACGACTATCGATGGTTTTCACTATGAATGACATTACTCTTTCAGTTAGGTCATGCAATTTGAAAGTCACCCTTCGGACTAACAAATCCTTGTCTATTTTTCTTCATTCAGGATGAGCTGGAAAGGGGTGATGTTTCTACATCAATACAATGTTACATGAATGAAACTGGTGCTTCTGAAGACGAGGCGCGCAAACACGCAAGTTTCTTGATCCGTGAGGCATGGAAAAAATTGAACAAAGATCAAAATGTCGATTCTCCATTTTCACAGACTTTTGTGGGAATTGCCATTAACTTTGCTAGAATGGCACATCACTTGTACGAGCATGGAGATGGGATTGGCAAACAGAATCCTGAAATCAAGAATAGGATGTTAAAATTACTATTTGAACCTATTCCCCTCGAGGATTAAATCATGTGTGGTGAAATGACTATTAATATTCAATAATAATGACCAAAAGAATCACCGATGGTCATATTGGGATATATGCCAAAATGTATGTTTTCACATTATGTTGTGAACAAATAAATATTAACTTATGTTATTTGAATATTTTTATATATGTATTTAATATTTGAGCAAATAATAAAATGTACCTTGATCACGAATATTATTATAAGTTGAGTACATAAAATTAATATACGTCTAAATTATGAATGTTGCTTATTAATTCGAATTTTTAGAGGTAACAAAGAGTGAGATTAATTATGTATTCAATAACAAGCTAACTTATTGTTAAATATTGAGAAATATCTAATTTAGGGCTGAATTTCCACTCTATCTAGTCATTCTTCGTTTTGCTTAAAGATTAAAACAACTAACTCACAACTTCTCACGATAAAAACATTTACTGATCACTTCTTTTTTCCCCATTTTTGTTATCTCTGTTTAGAACTAAAGGCAGTTAAGTTGAATGCATTCTTGTATTTATTTAAATTTAATTAAACATATTGCACTAACACGATGTCTCAGCAAGTGTTATGTCATAAATCCAATCAATTTTAAAAATAAGCACTTTTAATGTATAATTGATGTATATTTATAGCAAGATCTATTATTTAATTGAATTAATATTCTAATAAATTAAATAATAGAATCCGTAGATTTAAGTTTTAGTGATTTGTTAATCACGAGGAGTTGTAATTGTAAGATACAAATTATATATGACTGCAAACTAATAAATTAAATAATAGAATTCGCAGATTCTAGTCTTGATAATTTGTTAATTACAAGGAGTTGTGATTGTGAGATACAAATTACATATTATTGAATCTTAAATCATCAGTGGTTGTGAGCAATAGCAAGATACGGATATCGATATTATAAATAGACAATCACAAGTGACATTTCTTACTTATGATGTAAGTAGACAATCTCACAAGTTAAAGTGTGTTGACACTTAAATTAACACGTGGATGTTCGTTATAGAACAAAATATTGGAGACCCGTTGGGGAGATTCTACATTGATAACTATCTGAGTGTTAATGGTTAATCTCTAACATTCTGTAGTGGAATTGATCCTTTGATTTGAAGTCATCATAGTGTCTTATATGAGGACTTTCATACTTTGGTGATTTTGGATGTTGTTTTGCCAAGAGTTGCTAATACGGCATCATTCGGGTACGTTAAGAATCATATAAAAGTTATGAATAATCATAGAGGATTTGTCGCTCTTAAATAGTAAGAGATTATGATCTACGTTTCATTTAATTAAGTTAATAATGAAATCATTAGCCAATGTGTACTCATAAGTCGAAAATAAGTTTTCGACTTATATTGACTTAATAGTGTGATGAAAGATATGATCCGATCATATTGATGAATTGATCATAGTTTCACGATAAACGAACAAATTTGATTTTGTTATACCACGTGACATTTCTTGTCACGTGTATTACCCTAAAACATTGCTAGATGTCAATTTGAGACGACAAATGTGAATTAATGTTAAATTAAAAGGGGTATGTTAATTTATCGATTTTGATTAGATCAAAATAATAGTTCATATCATTAGGTATCATGATCGAGAACCTGATAGATCACACACAAAAGGAGAATCAGAAGTGTGATGTTCCAATTAATTAATTAACAAGCATTGTACAACTAATTAATTGGATTGCTTGTTAATAAGATCAAATTAATTAATTGGATTAATTAAATATTGGACAGGGTTAAGTTTAAAAGACAAGTCCACCTAGACTTCTTTTAATAAACTATTAGAGTTTCTGAAAAGTAGAACATAACACAATTCATTATTTTGCTAATACAAGAAAAGAGAAACTTAATTCTCTTATTCTTGTTCCCTGTTTGAATTTTCATTGGAGGCTGACAATTGGATAACCGTAGATTGTGGATCGTGATTGTTCATTTTCCAATATTAGCAAAGGAGTTTGCAGAATTTACAAATGTTGACATATGGTTAATCATGACCTTAATGTTTTGATTATAACAAACAAGTCCATCTTGTTTACTAACAAATTGAATTGAGTGTTTAAGCCTTCAAAGTTATAAAGACTATTATTCACACTCAAATGAAGTACAAGTGAAGGTTAAACGAGCATTCAAGATAATTCATTCGAGACAATAGTGATTTGCATGCCACAATCAAATTGGAACTTAACAGAATTGCAAATCAAGATATAAGTCAAAGAGAGGCTCGAAGAGATCAAGAATATTGAAGATGGAGTTATTTATCGAACCTCGTTTATAATATGTAAAGGTATAACTCGTCAATATTTAGCAAGTGCATAAGCTCAAATATTTCTCATAAATTCATTATCAAAAACTTTGAAAAATCATTTTCAAATGTCCCTCAAAAGATCACACTTCAACTTTCAATCAAAA